GAAGTGTGCGAATTTTGTTTCTGTTGTGCGGATTTGGTGCCTTATTTTGTTTGTAATGGTTATGTGAGTATAGTAGTATCTAATGTGATTCTATCAATAATTTTGGATGTAAATTTATATGGTTAAGGAGGTTACAACGCACTTGCTTGTGAATTGGAGCTGCTGTGATGTGTGGTGTGATTGTGTGTTGGTGTGGAGGTTGCCTTGTTGCTTAAATTGAAATTACAGGCTGTTGTGTGTGAGGAGCAGAGTAGGGTCAGTGATGGAGTTGTGTAACTGTGTTTCGTTTATTTTATTTGATACATATGCCATGTAACTCTGGTGGTTTATTTTAGAATTATGAGTAAATTAAACAATTATGTGTTGCTATATCTGGTGTTTTCCCTGGTATCTTATTGTTGTGCTACTCCTATTTTAGAAATTCTTGAACCAAAGTTGCTGTTTATGTGTAAATTTATGTCTTCTATGCAACATAATTGTTTTAGATAGAATTTTTCTGATTACGTTTTAGTTAAGGTCTAGGCTTTGGCCCTATCTAGTGTTAGAGTTTGGGGTTTTAGGCTCACAACTAAGTGCCTGAATAATTAAGAAGTTTGGGGATGTTGAGCTATCCTTTATAAATATAATTTAAAATGACAATTGAAGGTGATGATGATGCGTGCTATATAGCTAGTGGAGAAAAACAATCTCCAATTTTCTGCACAAATTGATTCTGAAACTCTTTAATTAGCAAACAATAGTATGTACAATAAGAATTGAGAATTCAGCTAGCTTGTTAACAGGTTTGGGGTATCTAGTTTTCGCTGCCTTATCCCTAATCAGGCTTGTGAGGCAATATCTAAATGACATAAATAATCACCATGTTTGAACTTTAATACTAATAATATTAAGGCCAAATTAGAAAATAACACCTGCAAAAAGACCCGATTTTGGTTATAACACCTTAACATTTCGAAATTTTATTATAACACCTACAAAAATCCCAAAATTTTGGTTTCACCACCCACTAACGGATTTTTGGATGGAAATCGTTAGTGGGACCCACTAGGGACACGTGTCAGTTGTTTATTGGCTTAAAAATAAAAATTAATAAAAATTAAAATTAAAAAAAAAAAAACCCCTAAACTCTAACCCAGCCACCAGCCCCACCACCGCCGACCGTCACTACACCGCCAGAGACCCCCCACTGTCGTTGGATTCCATTCCTTCTCCGGCGAAACCACCGGCCGTCACCCCCACCAACATCAGCCCCCCCGTAAATCCCCTTCCCCCTTCCTTCTCCCCGAAAAATCACCCCAACCCACCACAACCCTCCACGAAAACCACCTAGCCCCTTCGCCTCTTTCAGACCCACAACCAAACCACCGTCAACAACCGCTACAAGCACCAATCGAAATTTCGCAAGTGGTTCTCCATCAATTTCAGGCGTCAAACGAGAAGTTGTCTTAGCCAAATTCCGGTGGTGTTGCTTCGCAAAAACCGGCTAAAATCGCTGCGAAATTCAGCAGGTTAGCAGGTGGTTCTCCGTCAATTCGCAGGTTGTTGTTCGGAAGATTTCGTGGCTCAAGAAACGGGCTGAAATCCTGCAGAATCCGGTGAGTTTCGTCGGTGAAGTTCCGGCGATTTCACTACTCAGGAAACCGTCAATTGCAAGCGTTAATCCGGAAGGTTTTTCGCTGCTCAACTTCAGGGCTGGGCTGGGCCTGGTATCGCCGGATTATGCGAGGGCAGGTGATGCCGGCGGCTGGGTAGGTGGTGCCGATGGTGGGGCTGGCTGGGTTAGGGTTTTTTTTTTATTTTTGCTTTTTTTTAAGCCAATACACAGCTGACACGTGTCCCTAGTGGGTCCCACTAACGGTTTCCATCCAAAAATCCGTTAGTGGGTGGTGAAACCAAAATTTTGGGATTTTTGTAGGTGTTATAATAAAATTTCGAAATGTTAAGGTGTTATAACCAAAATCGGGTCTTTTTACAGGTGTTATTTTCTAATTTGGCCTAATATTAAGGTATATTTAAAACAAAAGCCGTGCACAATATTTTGATCAGCCTTGTAATATATTAAACTTTGTCTTTGTCTTTTGGCCTAATATTTAGGCAATATAGCTAGTAGCCTGATCTCTATTAGCTTGGGGGTGTTAGCTTTCTCCTTTAGTCTATGTGCTATTAATATACTTGACCTTGTGGCTGAAAATGGGGCTGATAAAAAATGTTTGATGTGATCTTTGAAATCTATTGATTCAACTAAAAATTTTATCTATCTAGAAAGCGCGTTAGTTTTTTGTTTGAATTTCCTGTTTGGATATCAAATTTCAAATTTTAGCTTTGAAAGAAAGAAGAAAACGTGTTAAGGGAAGGAAAAACTTTGATAGTTTTGAAATGTTGATGATTGGTGATGCTAAGGTCTCTTAAATCTTTTCAGTTTCTCTTCACAGTCAAAAAGTTTGTAATTTTTCTACTTACACGTGCAAATTAGGTATTGCCCAGATGAGCCACTGCTATGCCTATCCCGGAATAAAGTTAAATCAAATTTGAACAATTTTTATGCCCAAGTCACTGCAGCAGCCAAGGCAGGCTTCCCAGGCCACTTCACCAGCCTAGGCAGGCTGCTCAGGCCACTGCAGCAGCCAAGGTAGGCTGCCCAGGCCACTGTAGCAGCCTAGGCAGGCAGCAGCAGCCTTGGAAGCCTGCACATGCCAAGCAGATGTTTGGGTAAATGGGTCTGTTCGAGTTGAGTTCGGGTCAAGTTTCTCTTAATAACTCTAAGAAGGATTAGAGATTGTTTGCTCTACTAAAAAATGTTGTAGTTTGCACATTATCAGTCAAAATCCTAGCCAAAAAAAAATTATGATAACATGTACATCAGTAACATTATTTGGCACAATCCTATTTAACTAGTGTAATTTGATAGTTGAGTGATTGGTCCTAGAATACATGTTATTAGTGTTAGATTACAATAAATAGGCTAGAAAGAAGGAATGCTTTTAGGCCAGAAACAATCAAGGAGCTAATTCGAGCGTTTGATGATGCAAGGGATGATAGTTCAATTGGTGTTATCATTCTAACTAGCAAGGTAATTTAACTGTGCTGCTTTTCGTTAGTTGTATCATCTTCCTTATTGATTTACTTTGGATCACCTGAGTGTTTCGGTTGCATTTGCTTGTTATTGTAATATGTATATTAAGGATTGATAATCATGCATTAATTTTCATGAATTTTGTAATGTAACGTAACTATGCAAGTTGTGTTTGTGTTGATTATATGCTCTTTAATTTAGTTCTATGTGATGTATATCTTACCCAACCCGAATAATCTAACTCAATGAAATCAGGAGTTGCTGATATGGTTAACACAAGGGGTCATCAAGGTGGTTCCATCACAGCAGCTTTGTTTTTGAAGCTTAAAATCGAAGGTTTTTTCGAGCTATTCTGTCAACAGAAAGACGCACAAATGACGGTGAACAACACAACCCAAGCTTAGTTATTTGAGGAACTCCAAAACCTCATAACCCAGAGGAACCACGACCAAGAACAAGGGCCACTGGGCTGGTTGTGCCTGCCTGGGCTACTGTGAAGCCTACCTAGGCTGGCTGTTGTGCAGCCTGCTTGGGCTGCTGTGCAACTGCCTGGCTTGGCTGTGCAGCCTGCTTGGGCTGCTGTGCAACCGCCTGGCTTGGCTGTGCAACTTGCCTGGGCTTCTTGTATTTTTTTTTTTGTTTTTTTTTTTTTTTTTTTTTTTTGCCCTTGGATAACATGGACGTTTGCCATTCTTACAAAGTGTGCTTAATATTTTGGTGTAATTAAATTTTATTGTTCATGAAATATATTAATGATGTTAATTTTAATATATATAATTATTTCCTGTTATATATAGAGCTCTTTCCCAAATTAAAGTCAAGAAGAACCGCAATTCCCAAATTGCTGCCAAATCTTTTTATTTTCCCATTCTACCGTCCACGTAAGCACTGGTTAAAAAACCGGTTTTTTTTTTTTCCGGTCCAGGGTAAACCGCTACTTGAAGTAGCGGTTTCTTTGCAATAAACCGCCACTTCAAGTAGCGATTTCTTAGTTTAAAACCGCTACTTGAAGTAGCGGTTTGTTTACAAAAAACCGCTATTTTATGTAGCGGTTTCTTTTGGAAAACCGCTACTTCAAGTAGCGGTTTACTTTGAAAAACCGCTACTTCAAGTAGCGGTTTACCCTGGACTGGTTTTTTTTTCAAACTTGCATAATCACTCAAAAAAAAACCTGCAAGTTGTGTACCTGTAAAACATGAGATATATAACATATTTTCAACACAACCACCATAAATAACAAGTTTATGAAGATCTAAGGAAGTCGAAATTGCAAAGTCGAATATTTTTCAATTGATTAAATATAACAAAATCCAATTCTAAGCATTTACAAAAAAATTAGTTTAGTTCCAAAATATACACTTAGCTCGGGCGTTGCTTCTTCCCATGAGGTGACGATGAAGATGATGCAGCTGTCTCCTCTGGAATGTCATCCAGGCCAACTCCAACCCCAGATGTAGTGTTGCTACGCCGTCGGTTTCTCTGATACTGGCGATGCACTAGTGGAGGAGATGTCATGATAGTATGCTGAGAAGGAGTCGGTGGACGGAAGGCACGTGCTGAATGGCCTCCACGATGAGGTGGTGGTCTGATCGGCATAGTGTGCACAGTAGAAGATGAAGACGTGGACGGTCGAGGCTGCTGAATAAGGTGTGACTGCCCCACCCTAGACAAGGTTTGGCCACAAAATGATGTAAAACCCTGCATCGTCTGTATGGCAAATGGTATAGCCGTCTCTGGTGGCAAGTGGGAGATGGTCTCAGTAGCTCCCGATAGCTGGACGTGCAAATCAGCAAATGCATGTGCCTACATTTAAGTGTAGTTTTAATGTTAGTAAAATGAAATCAAAAACGTAAGAACTAGATTGAAATGAAGTGAAGTTCATACAAGCAGGAGGTCAGAGGTAGCTGGCTGGTAATGACTCGGGGGCGCTCTTGCGAAGGTGGAGTAATGACCAGTCTCGTGATGCGACGGTACCAAGCCATGTACTCTGTCATGGCCGGGGAAGAAGTCCCAGTGAACGGGTATCCCTGGACGACTAATGCCTCTCGTCGACTCCACTCGTGTACATGGTCCGAATGCCGAATCTCTCAATTACGCTGTCCCCTTCGATCCTTCCTGTGTAGAGCAACGTCCGTGTCTACATCCTGTGGGATCGGCTGGTCTAACCCGAACTGACGAAGGACTCGGTCTGGGAGGTGGAACTCAACGACGTCAAAGCATATCAGAGGTGCCCGTGAACGCCAAATGTGCATGTCTGAGCGACAAATCTCCGGAAGTCGATCCATCACCGCCTCAGTATATGGCTGCCAAATCATCTAATTCCCAAAACAAGTATGTCAACATGTATATGACTAACATAATGGAAGAAATACAATGCACAAAAAAAAAAGAAACACCGATTGTACCTGGTCCTCGCGCTGATGGTCAAACGCATCTCTGTAGTATGGTAGTCCAGAAGCAGTATGCGCACACGATAGATGGACACGTAACCACCTGTAAAGACATGTTAATAATAATTCTTGAAAGATAGAATTGTAAGAACATGAACTTGAAGCAAACATTGTACCTGCACGCCAAAGGGTCAACACCTCGCTGATGCTGAGTCCCCAAAATGTCATCCTCATCCTCAGCCTCAGGGTCCTCCTGTGGCGGATCTCGAGGCCTCCTAATGTATGGTCGGCCAATTGTAATATGCTCCCACGACCACAACTGTAGTAGGATGAGCGGGCCTCCAATCTGTCTTGAATCTCGCTGACATGCTCGACATAGCTGCCGATACAAAAAACCAAGAGTCGCACTCCCCCAGCTGTAGGTCGAAGCTGTCTCCCAGTCTCGAAGGAACGGCAAGTAGTAGAGTGACACAGCATCGCCACTCTTGTCGGCGAACAGAATAGATCCCATGAGAGTGAGAATGTAAGCACGGCTATGGCGCTGAACTGTCAAGTCATCAGCTCCCTCTGGCATCTGTGAGAAGTGACGTCTGAGCCACGTCAACTCCAAAGTAGATCCCTCCAGAAACGGCTTACCGTTATCATCAGGGCCAGGTCGAACTCCCAGCAACTCCTCAACTAGGTCATGCCATCCCTCAAATGGAGGTCCAATGACAGGAGGGCCGTGCACTCTCAGACCTAACAGGACGGAGACATCCTGTAAAGTAATGGTGGCCTCACCTACCACTAGGTGGAAAGTATGTGTCTCCTGCCTCCACCTCTCAACCAACGCCGTAAGAAGAGATCGATCAAGCAAAAACCCTCCTCCCAAAATCCTATCTACACCGTAAAACCCAGCAAGCCTAACGTACTCTAGTACTCCGCCATCTACCCTCCACTCACGTCCCACGCTGACCATATGCTCCCTAACTGAGAGAACTCTATCAGCTACGCCACTCCAAACATCGTGGCTCCTATGGGAAGTCTGCAAGCGTAGAACAGATGCATCAACTAGGCCTGGACGAATCACCGGCTCCATGGGACCTACACGATAACAAAAAATTGAATTAATGTTAAGCGTTCGAGAAAAAACATAAATATTAAACAAGAATATATAATTAATCATGTTACCCAGATACATCAACATTGTTTGGGTCAAGAGAATCACGAATGCCTTGTGGTTGTGTGCTTGTCGAGGTTCCAACATTAGGCGATGAGGCCGGAGACATAAACTGTGAGAGATGGTCATTGACATAATGTGGATCAACAAGCATTCTTGTGAATGACCCTATGCCCACACTTTGAACACCAGTGGAAAACGGTTGATCCACACTACCAAAAAAATCCATCCCCGGAAAGGAACCAGTGTTAGTTTGCACAACTGGCTCCTTTGGAACTTGTTCAATGAACAATTGCATTGCAACAGAAGAACTCTGAGTCACAACAATCCACATAGCTCTAACAGCGTTGTCGTCATTTAACGGAATTGCAACATATGCCCCAGACATAGGATAACGCATAACCACCTTCAACTCCACACCTCTAGGATCAACACTCAATTCTTCATATAGCTTGTTCAGAACTTGTGAATATGTCATCGCAGAATGTACAAACACAAATTTTTGATTCCCACCCCTATACGTTATATCGCTATCTTTGTGGACAATTTCTCCACCCCAATAGCAATATAGAGGGTAGTTCGGAACCTCCATGTTTCATTCTAGAAAAGACCATTATTAATCAAAGATATTAGATTGCAAAAATTCATTAACAGTGTGGCAATGTCCTAACATCAAGCAAGCAAACTACACAATTATAGCAACCTAAACTGAGCTATGAAGGTCTTAATACCTCTTGAAGCTCAACATGGGCATAAGTCATGACTACATGTACTTTGAGCTCATGTACTTTGTGTATAGAAGCTCTATTTTCACTTTCAAAATCAGCAATTATAGCAACCTAAACTGAGTAATGTGATCGAAACCATTAATAATTCTAAAAGGGTTATATGTAAGGTAAGTAAATCAACAACAACAACCAAAACCAACCACAAACATACATACAATTCTGAAACTCAATAACAACAACAATAAACAAGAACACTAACAACAACAACACAACCAAAACCGAAACTCAATAACAACAACAATAAACAAGAACACTAACAACAACAACACAACCAAAACCAACAACAACAACACATACATACGATTACGAAACTCAATAACAACAACAAACTCAATAACAACAACAAACCCAATAACTGAATACAAAAAATAATTAGGGCACTTACCACAAACAAGAAGATCAGCACGTTTCTTCTGAAATTAGCGAAGCCGACCACTAAAGTCGAACCCTCGGCGTCAACAGCGGCGGCCTTCGTTGCTGAGGAATGCTCCGGCGGCGTCGGTGGATTCCTTGGCTGCGCCGGCTTCCGTTGAAGGAGGTGTGATTTTGGTGGAAGGCCTGGATGGGATTTTGGTGAGAAGACGAAAATGAAAGAGGAAAGTGAAATCAGGAAATTATACCTGCTAGAAAACCGCTACTTGAAGTAGCGGTTTATTAAACAAAAACCGCTACTTGAAGTAGCGGTTTATTAAAAAGAAACCGCTACCTGAAGTAGCGGTTTTTACTAATAAACCGCTACTTCAGGTAGCGGTTTTGCTGTAGACCGGATTTAAAATTTCTTCCCCCTGAACCGGTGACGTGGACGGTACTTTGGGAATTCTTAAAACTTTGGCTGCAATTTGGGAATTGCGGTTCTTCTTGACTTTAATTTGGGAAAGAGCTCTTATATATATCATTGTATTATTGTTTGTAATATTAAAATTATTATTAATTAATAATACTAAAATTATTGTGAAAGGTCACTTATGATATTATAATATTAATAATAAAAAAATGGAGAATTGGAAGCGGTTTGGCGCCAAAACCGCTTCCAATTCTCCATTTTTTTCATGTGAAAAATGGGAATTGGAAGCAGTTTGGGCCAAAACCGCTTCCAATTTAATTATAAAATGGCAAGCCCCCCAAAAGGAAGCATTTCAAAACCGCTTCCAATTAGGGGGGTTGAACCACTTCCCATTTAGTTTTTTCTACTAGTGAAGACGACCTTTGTCATAGATCAGGGGTTATTTTGCTATACTGTCATGTCGTTCGGCCTAAAGAATGCGCCTGCAACCTTCCAAAGAATGATAAATACGGTCTTCTTCAACCAGATTGGAGGGAATGTAGAGGCGTACATAGATGATATGATTGTAAATTCTAAACTCCGGACGGACCACCTAGCTGACCTCCGAGAAACATTCACCACACTCAGGCAGCACCAGGTCATGCTCAATCCAAAGAAATGTTTTTTTGGTGTTGAGTCTTGGAAGTTCCTCGGATTTCTAATCAATCAAAGCGGGATAGAGGCTAACCCCGAGAAGGTACAGGCGGTCATAGATATGCAGTCGCCCCGCACTGTCGGAGAAGTTCAAAGGCTTACGGGGTGCTTGGCGGCATTGGGGAGATTCCTCAGCCGGTCGGGCGACAGGTGTCTTTATTTTTTTCAAGCTATCAAGAAGAAGACCATGTTTAAATGGGGGCCGAATGCAGAGGCGGCCTTCTAGAAATTGAAACAACATTTTCACTCTTTTCCAAGGTTGGTAAGCCCCCTACCCAAGGAAGTGTTATTCATGTATTTAGCAGTCTCTAACCATGCCCTTAGTGTCGTCCTCCTTGCTAAAAGGGACGGCTGCCACCTCCCTGTCTACTTCATCTGTCATGTCCTAAAGAATGCTGAGTTACAGTACCCTATGGTGGAGAAGTTTGGCCTTGCCCTCTTCATGGCAGTTAAAAAATTGAAGCCTTATTTTCAGGCACATCCGGTTATGGTTTACACTGACCAGCCAATTAAGCGACCACTGACAACCATGAAGTCGTCAGGCCGGATAATCAAATGGGCCATCAAGATCCAAAGTCTAGAGATCACTTTTGAGCCAAGGAAAGCAGTGAAGGGGCAAGCATTTGCTGACTTCATATTAGAACTAACCAGGCTGACTAATCAAGAGAACTTTGAGCAAGTCTGGAAAGTCTATGTAGATGGGAGCTCTACAATGAACGGGTGTGGAGCAGGCGTTATATATCAATCCCCTGAATGGGACAAGTACGAGTACGCCCTACGGTTTAAGTTCCAAGCCTCGAACAATGAGGCGGAATATGAAGCCCTTTTGGCTGGCATCCGCATGTGCAAGGCGGCCGGGGTAAGAAAGATAACCGCTTGTTCCGACTCGCAACTGATCGTAAGCCAATACCTGAGCAACAACAGTCGGTATTTGACCTAGACATTATAGATTGCCGCTTTTTTTTAGAACAGTCGGTAGTCTTTTTTATCCTAGTCTCTTTTGATCAACTTAAACGGCTGTGAACTTGACAATCGGTAGGGCCGTTTGTTTTTTAGTTTATAGAGCAATGTGCCACCCACATGGGAGATGCTCTCTGCGATGAATTCACCTGGATGGATGTCGCCGGACGCCTGCTCATTTAGGAACAGACGTATTTTTATATTATTCGGCCATTAGCCTTACATCTGGTCATTGGCCTCAACAGGTTTAAAAGGAACAACGTATAGCTGCTAAGTTTCTAGACTTAGCTTACATCTACTCATGTTGGAGCAGACTTTTAACATGTTAATAACGCCGCCTAAACATTTTGTCGACGGTACATAAAAATGCAAATTTTCATTAATACTTTTAAGTACAAAAAATTACAAGTCTTAGAAGTAGTACTTTTTTAAGTTGTCTACATTCCAAGTTCTGGCTAGCTGCCTGTCATCTAGTGTTTCCAGGCGGTAGGTGCTGCCTTTTTTTTCTTCATAGATCCGATAAGGGCCTTCTCAATTGGGAGTCAACTTTCCCTGCTCATTGGCCCTACTAGTTGCCTCCATTTTTCGTAACACAAAGTCCCCCACTTTCAAGGGTCGCTTGTGTACTCTTTTGTTGTAGGATCTCGTCATTCTTAGACAATAGATCTCATGGCACAAGACAGCATTGTCCCTGCGTTATAGGAGTGAGTCCAATGCTAGATGCATGGCCTCCCAATTTGTCTCTTCGTCATATAGCATGACTCGAAGAGTCGGCTCATAATGCTCAATAGGTAAGACAGTTTCTGCACCATAAACCAAGATAAATGGGGTTTCTCCAGTCGCCCCTTTTTCAGTCGTTCTGGTGGCCCATAGAACATGTGGCAACTCATTCGCCCATAGGCCGCCAGCTCTTCCGAATTTCTTCTTAATGCCATCTGAAATTAATTTATTGAAGGCTTCAACCTGGTCGTTTGCTTTGGGACGGCCGACTAATGCAAAACAATGAAAGATCCCTTGGTCTCCCAACTAATTCTTGAAGTAGGCGTTTTAAACTGATGTCCATTGTCAAAGACCATAGATATGGGCACCCAAAACCGAGTGATAACATTTCTCCAGATGAAGGAGATAACATCTTTTACTTTGATGCCTTTGACCGCCTCTACCTCTCTACCTATTTAGTGAAGTAGTCAACAGCAACTAGAATATACCTCCGTCCACCTATAGCAGGTGTATATGGTCCTAGTATGTCCATGCCCGATTTGGCGAATGGTTTTGGGCGATGGATGGCCATCAGATTAGTGGCCGGACGGTGGATAAGTTTGCCAAAACTTTGACACCTGTCGCATTTTTTCACCATTTCCATGGCGTCTGCTTCGAGGGTAGGCCAAAAGTAACCTTGCCGCCTGGTTCTTTTTGCAAGGGTCCTGCTACCTATGTGGGAGGCGCCAAAGGCTGAATGCAAGTCTTCTAGAACCTCTTGTCTCCTTTCTAGAGTGACACATTTCAACAAAGGTTAAAGATAGCCCTTCTTGAAAAGTTCTACATTATGAATTTCAAAGTTTTCCGCGTGCTTTTTCATTGTGACTATCTCTAGATAAGTATCTGGCAAAGTGTCGTCTGTTAAGTAAGCCCGGTTGTCATCCATCCAGGTTGAGCTTCGGTCCAGTACTCCAATGGGATCTTCTTCATTACAT